CTTCTCAGATTTAAAGAATTTAAATATGGTGTTATTGCAGATACTAAAAAGGCCTTTTTGCAAGTCAGCCTTTGGCAGGAGGAACAAAACTATCCGGGACTCTTCCAGGGAAAGAATAGCAACTATAAAAAATTAAGGTAATGCAAAAAAAGGCCTTTTTGCAAGTCAGCCTTTGGCAGGAGGAACAAAACTATCCGGGACTCTTCCAGGGGAAGAATAGCAACTATAAAAAATTAAGGTAATGCAATGCAACAGACTGGTCTTTAGTGTAAATAGTAACCCTTTTATTTTGCGAGTAGGCTTGGATTATTGTTTGGATATAATCAAGATTATATTAAGGGCCTTCTTTTAAGTATCTACATTGATAATTTAATAATGAATTTAAATGATATATGTGTAATATATTATCTTTCATTGAGACGTCTCAAGTCGTACTGCGTGAAAGAGAATATAATTTGAGAGGTTGACAGTACACCAATGATGATGATCCTCAGCCATTTACTTCTGCGTTAGGGCTTTTGCGAGTTAAGATATCCTGATGGTAAATCTGGATTGGTTAGGCAGCTACTAATTTGAAACTTTGTCCAAAAAAAGTAATTCGTCTGGTCACTCGTTATTTGATCCTGTTGGTTTATTATGTCTTGTTTTGCTTATACCCAACTCGTTGCAAAGGATGTGGAAAGAAAACATACCTTGGAACTCTGAAGCCGATGCTAATAAAAAAAAAAATTATAAGCTGGTTTTCAGAACTTTATTTGTTGAAGGAAATGACCATATCATAGTGTTTTTCATTTGATCCAAGAAGACAAAACATTTCTTTGCGCATGTTTTGTGAGGCTATTCATTCAGCCTTCATAGCAGCGGTTTTCATTTATGTGGAAACGTCTGAGAATGTCCAAGTTCATCTCCTAGCAGCCAAAGCTAGAATGACTTCTGTAAAATCTGTCGACTGGAGTTGATGGCTTCTGTGGTGGGAACTCAGTTGTAAAAATCTGTTGTAGAAGGGCTTTAATGGAAAGATGTTGAAAAACATTATTGGAGGAGCTCCACAGCTGTTTTAGGGTGGATTTAGCATAAAGAGTATTAGATGGAATTTGTGAACAACAAAGTGAATGAAATAAATAGTTTAACGAAGCCTCTGACATGGAAACACCTTCCTGGAATCCAGAATCTAGCTGGTTTGCCTTCATGGGGATGTTCTGCTAGATAACTGAAAAATTTTGATGAATATTCTACAGCCAAGCAAAAGAGAAAACAAAATCTACTAGGCATTCTTCTATCTGTTCGTTAAGTCTCAAATACTTGTAGCTGCAAAACTGATAAAAAAAAAAATAATGAATGTAGATGTTATGGACCAAGTTGGTACTATTATTATTTTTCAAGCTATGAAGTTAATAGAGTTGATTGCTTGGATAAAAAGAGTTATTTTTAATTTTTCAATTCTCTAAATGCAAAGTCTTTATGAATTATTGGAAAGGTTATCCTATGAAGAAGTCAAAGATTTGGAAAAGAAGGTCATACTGTTAATACAAAACAAATGTTTTTCAGATCACAAAAACAAAAGAAAATTAGAATCTTTCACAACGTACAGAGACAAAGAAGGAATTATTAGACTGAAAACAAAAGTTATATTTTGGAAGCATGCAAAGAACCTTAGGCATCAAGGTGTTTTACCGGGAGAGCATTAGGCTGTCAAAAGGTTAATTATGAAAGAACACCATAAGAACTCTCATGCTGGCTTTCAAATGTTGTTAGATAAGAGCACATAATTAGATTTTAAAGGCAAAGAAAGTCATACAATCTCTTTTATCCAAAGATTAGACTTATAGACTTTATGAATATTTGAACTTTAAGTTAGTTCATTTTAATTTTAAAATTTTGGGTTTATTTTCAAAAGTTTTACTCTTTAAAATTTCTAGTAGGTTAAGCTGTTTCTCAACAACTTAAGTTGAGAGAATGTTGGATTTCAGATGACATATAGTTTGTATTTTATGCGTACTTTAATTGTATCTGCTAAATGTTTTTGGCCACTAATAATTATTGGTAGTTTTGCTTCTTGAAAGTGGCAGCAGAACAACTTATAGAATTGGCAAAAATAAGTGCATGTAGTGAGTAGGCTTATTAAAAGAATGTTTTGTTATTTGCACGAGGGATGAATTTATTTAAGAGCCAAACCTATTTTCAACAATAAATCAATACAGTCGATTCTGGTTAATTGGACCACATCGGGAAGCGATTGTTTTGGTACTAATAACCGGCTGGTCCGATTATACGAACATGGCCTGTGTTGTAAGACGGGACATGCTATATGTAGCAAATGGTAAATGTACATGTAAATAATGTACTAAAATGTAATTATGACCTTTATTGTGCGGTACACACATATGGCGAACATACATGTACAAACAAGAACTACAGTTGAACTTTTTTTCATTGAGAAAATTAATTTAGAAACAAATTCTAAGAAGCTATCTCGGCGATAATCAGCATGCGAAGTACAATCAAAACAAGTTCTGTACAAGTTCCAGTCAACATATGAAGAACTTATCCAGTGTATCTGACGCTTTCTCTTAACGGATTGCACGTGAACGAAATTGCCACAAACATCTTGCCACAAACATCTAACCACAAACATGCACCAACTTATTAGTGACATAATCATCATCACTTTCTTGGTCTTCCGATGCTATCGTCTGTTTTGCTGCAACAATTGCAGCATCGTAATCTCCATTTTCATCATAGCATTGAAGCTCTTTGTCGATGGATAAAAATTCTTCGCAATTTTGTACCTGTAGAAGTTCTATATGTCCGTCATCATTTTCACTTTCAATGAGCATGCCCGCATCCATCTCCAAAACCAAGTGCTTAAAGCCACAGTGAGAAAAACAGTTCTGAGTTGTCTAACTGCTCACTTTTCACCTGCTGTCAGCCACAAATGTAACTGCTTGTAGGATGTTGGCCTTTTCATTGACTTCACTTGCTTTTGACTATGAGGTCAGCAAACTTTCTTCAATTGCTTCAAGAATGTAATTAATCAACTTTGCACGCTAAAGGGTCTTCATAGTTTTGATGATCCCCATGTCCATTGGCTGGACCAAAGCTGTGGCCTTTGGAGGTAGAAATTCCAGTTGGATGTTCATCAAGCAATCTAAATGAGGATGTGCTGCACAATTGTCAAGAAGAAGCAGCACTTTTCTCGACTGGTGTTATAGCTCTCTGTCTCAATCCTTGAGCCATTCTTAAAAAAGTTCAGAGGTCATCCACGCATTTCTGTTCGTACGATACATGACTGGTAACCTGTCCATCCTCAGTCCTTAAAAGCAGCGAGGCTTAGTGCTTTTTCCTATAACCAACAGCTTCCTCTTGTCTGTTTCTGACATGTTTGAGCAGCCCAAAAGTGTTACTCTATCCATCGTTTTTTTGGAGCCAGAGAGTGCAATATGTTTTGGAAACAGATGGTTGTAGCACAATATGTTTGTCAGCATTGAATGTCATTAATTTTTCAAGAAGCTCGCCGTTTGATTTCATTTCTGCAGCATCTGCACTATCAGCACCTTCTTTCTCGCCATGTGCTTTCTTGAATTTTATGTCATGTCTAGACTTCCATCGAGACAACCAACCGTCCGTAGCTTTAAAGTCATCGTGGCCCAGCTTTTTAGCGACTTGTTCTGCTTTGTATTTTAACATTGGGCCACTTACTGGCACAGCTCATCCAGTAACAATGGCAAACCATTCATTAAGGGCCTCATCGACGTCTGGATCCTTACCTTCACGCTTCCGTTTTTTGGAAGTTCCTCCTCGTCCTTCACATTGTGCCCATTCTTCTTGCAGCTCATTCTCTTGTTTTATCAAGCGTGAAATTGTAGTCTTTGCCAATCCGGTAATTTCCACCGACCGATGCTGACTAGTGTTTCAGGATTGTTGCTTGATCTTAACCAGGAAATCAATATTTTCAGTTAACATTAAGCCCCGTCGTGGCATTTTGGCAGGGGAGACAAGACACGCTCACAGTTCACGGACTAAAGGGGTCTGAAGAAACCTTGGTGTTTCGGGGTCAAGAGGGAGATAAAATGCTCGTCATTCAAAGCTTTGGCATTAAAATCATTCCAAAAGGGTAGTGAAATGATAGCTTTCTCGTGTAAACTTAAATCATGATTGAAAGGCGGGAATTCCTTTCAGGTGGAGCCAAGACACTCTATTGTTCATTTTCTTGAAAATTGGAGACACAGTGGGAACATAACCTCGCTGGCGGCTACTGATGGCTCTGTTTTAAGAAAGGTCAAAGAAAATGGTGCGCATGCTCACCTCCCATTGGTTTTCCTCTTGTCATGCACTTTAAGAAATTCCTGACCTTTGATAAAGCGTTCTCCTGAGGAGTGCAGCTACAGATCCTCCCATGTGTCGAGGACCACCTGTACATCCACTGTACACAGCCAACTTGTGTCTTCTGTTTTTTATTCACTCTCATTAATTTTGGTCCGATTAAACGGAATTTTGGTCCAAAGAAACGAATAATATTAGGCTTATGTACATGGGATTTGTTTCGGTTCTTAAGGATTCGGTCTGAAAAAGGCGGCTGGTCCGATTAACTGGATTCGACTGTAGTTTACTTTGACACATAAGCAAACATTTTTCATCTAGCAGTGCAACAACTAGCTGAGCAAACCCAGCTAACTCACATATTTAGTGAATAGAAGCACTATTACTCAAATTTTTAAAGGGTTTCATCTGGATGGTCTAATTATTTGGGTCATATAAAGTGGTAGAAATTAAAATTAGAATTTAAAGTTACTGAATTTGAAATAAATTTCCTTAAATGGTAAGATATTAGATCTATGTTAATACCATTTATTTCTTTCATAGTTATTTATCGAAAATATTTTTTATGTTATCCAGTCATACTAAATACTTGTTTGTTAATTTTGTGTATGCTGTATGTGTAAGTATTGAATAATAAAATTCATACTTAGTGATCAAATTGAATATTTTTTTTTCCTTAGAGCAAGACAGTACGAGATTTCGATGAACGATTTACTTCCAGAATATTTAAATATAAAAATGTGGATGAATATTATGCAGCTGCTACTCTGAAGTCAAAGATTACTCAAATTGATGTTCCAGTTCTTTGCTTGAATGCTGCTGATGACATATTTTGTCCCTTAACTGGTATAGTACAGTTTAGCTCTATTTCTGTATTTCTAATGAGAGGAAAAGATAATTACTTGATGTTTTTGTTATTGCATATTATGTAATGTTTTGTTGTTAAGTTGAGTGTGTGATTCCCACTGTCATTTTTTTTTAAGTAAGGACTAATCTTATTTATTTGTTTATCTGTGGCTGCTGTGTGGAGACATCTGATAGTGATTCACTAGTTTCCAATCTACTGAAATCACCACTATTGGCATTCTTGTCATTACTTCACCATTGCTGGCATAAATGATGTCCTGAGACAGTAATCAGTATCTGATTGCTTATTAATCCATTTATGTACTCAAAGCCAGAATGTACTAGATGCTTCTAGAAAGATCATATAAAACTCTGTAGGACAAGATTCCTCATCCAAAGCGTGTAACAAATGACACAAAAACCATATCTCTGTGGCCCACAGTTTTCAAGAAAACTGTGACCTGTGTACATAAAATTGATGCCTAAAACATGACATTTGCATGAAAAGATGCTCAGAATAATGATATTGAAGCATCATTGTATTGTGGAACAGTTGATTGAACACGAATTTGTAGCGTGGTGAACACAGCTTGAAAATGAGCAACTAAATCTCTTTCTATTATAAGTAGGATTTGATATCCTAATTTTATCAGGTGGTTTCCTAGAAAAAAGTTCAGTATTATTGGTTGTGGAATGCTGGCAGGTGTACAGTCAGACCTCCACACCCAATCCATCAATCTGGGTGTTTCATATGCAACCAGTCACAGATAGGCTAGCTGAAATGTTCCAGTCCTTCATTATGGCCACCTTCTACCAATAAGAAGCACTGAGAAAATCAGTTAGTACATCATGAAAAAATATCATGTATGAATATCTGATGAACTGTTGAGGATGTAATGTACATGGCCCAATAGTGCAATTGTGAGTATACTGGCTCATATATTTGCAGACCAGCCGAACTGATGTCTTTACAGGCAGATTGAAATGAAGTTAAGTATTGAACTGGAGCATGCACAGGTAATGCAGATGAGCATATGTGACACATGCTTCATCCATCCTCAAGATGTGCAATAAAAAGATTTTCAGGTTCGTGTTGTGCAGTAGTTATTCACAAAACACAATTTGTTGTACGTTTGGATGCAAGCCTCACGTGAAAGCTTAGCTTTGTATTGATGGGAAGTTTGAGCTACAGTTTCTCATTATGATTTCTGTATATAACCATCCCTTATATAAATGTACTTATGCAGTCTGTGCTGTTATTTAAAGTCTTAAAATGATTTATCCTGAGTATCACACCTGTAAACCACCACCCCAGTGACATTATCATTAGTGCTGAAGTGACATCCTCAAAGTGAATTCTTCATGCCAGCAGGGGAGTGATGCAAATATGACAGGGCTAGGTCTCAGAAATAAGTTGGATATGAAAACGAGGTGAAGTTGCAGTTAACCAAAGCAGCTTATGTTATTGCTGTCCAGTGAGAAGGTGCATTGCCTTAATGCAGAATGACTTCTTTCTCAGTTTTCCCTGGCCTTATTCTCTTTAACATCCATCAATTTGTGTATCAGATTGGCACAATATTCCCTGTTGATAGTAGACCCTTTTGTTACAGAATCACCCAAAACTACCCTACTTTTTCTCCTTTGTTTTAGCTGGAGAATAATGTTTCTGGGAACTAATGAAGCCCACACTTTGTTCATGGATGGATCTGCAAACATTCAGACACTGTTTTCATAGTCATTCGATGATTACCCATTACCATATCCTGCACAGCATTTATGTTTTCTTAAGCTGTCGCCATCACTGCACTTCCTCCTCATGGTTCATTTAAAATGATCCACCATTTAACAGTTGTAAATGATAAGGCTTCATTCTCAAATTCGTTCAGCATGTCCTGATGAATTTCTGTGGAATCACTGCACCTACATTTACACACCTTAGGCGGCACGTACAACAACCAGTCTCTTCTCTGACAAACTTTAACATGACTTCATTCATTTTCATCTTGAAAAAACAGAAAAGGAAATGTGTCAATTTCATGAAACTTCGCACAGTACATCAGAAAGCTCCAATCTAACCTTCTATAAAATGTTAATTACTTAGCACCATTTCTTCCCTGTGAGGCTCAAAGCATTTTGCCTTTCCTATAGGTACAGCATTGCTATCCTTAATATCAAGTGCATCATACTTTTTGCATTAAATTTGCCTACTTAGTATATATATGTGCTCAGTTCGAGATATACTTTGTCATGTTACAATATTGCAGCTTTCTGTAATAGTATAGGACCACCTTGGTTTCTGTCACCAACGTTGTGATGCCTGTTTGGAAGAATGCTTTCATTATTTTAAGTACTTCATCTAGCTAGCACATGATATTCACATCAGGATGATGGTGCGCTGGATAGCATCGGGGATACACTTTGAGAGTTCATTAAGAATTGTCATTGTATTGCTCAGAAAATGAAGTACTTGCTGCAGAACATTATCACATTTTGAAAGTTTGCTATTATCTATTTGCTTACAAATGCCACTTTTTATATGAGGCAAACAACAATTGTCTATTTATGTAACAACTATGTATCTATCATTTATCATCTGCTATGAAACTTTTCCACTTTTGCAAACATAAGAATGGGTAAAATTTGTATTTGTTTTATTTCCATTTGTTGTGCAGTTTTACATTTACATTGAAGTATATTTTCCACAAATAAATGAAGTTTCATATCTTTTAATTCAGGGTCATACAGGTATAGCTCTTCAATCATTTTTTATGTACTCTGAGTGAGAAGTATCCCCCTGCAGAATTTATGCAGTCTTGATGGAATATCCCATTTAAACGAATGCTAGTATGCATTATTCAGGATTCGTAGCGGTCCTTACAAGTGCTTATAAGTCCTTATATTTGAAAATAAAATATAAAAGTCCTTATAGGTGCTTACTTTTCTTCTTTAAAGCCCTTTTTTGTTTTTAGTGCTTATTTTTTGCTTTTAGCTTTTTTTTTTTTATGAACGCACATTTCCCCTCGTACCAAAGCCGAAATTAAATAAACACCTTTTCTTCCTTATATGGAACGTCAGATGGTGAATCATACTCCCGGAAATAGCTTTTTGCCCTTTTCTCTGCATTAACTCTGCCCCTTTGGTGCGCGAGAGTACAGATAGGTGCATGTTGTTCTATTGGTCAAAGAATTGCGAAAAGTGTAGAAAATTCCAGTAATTCGGTATTCTTTTCCTCCCACCCAAATATACACATGTTGAATTTCTATCAAGACTTTAATAATTTACATTCTCATTCTGCCTGGTCAATTCATATTCATGTTTATTATGATTGGTATGCTTATATTATGAGCATATGTATGAAAGTTTATAATAATATATTTGCAGTAACTGCTGAAGTATAGATAAACTTAAAAAATGAATAATTGTGTTTTAACACAGATTAGTTTTCTAAGGGATAATATTCGGAATGGCATAAATAAAGTAATCGAATAGTCAATATGTATATATATATTTGAGGGACCGATGCATTGTACAGTACGGAAGTTGGGGGGTTCTCTCCCCTTTCTCTGCAAAATCTTGAATATTGAAACTGTTACAATTCGCAGCAAAGCAAGCAACACTTTTTTTGGGGTCACTTTCATATCTGGATTGAAAAGACTAAAAGTTCTGCGGTCTACCAACCCAAGCGAACAATGATTCTATTTTGGAAATTTAACGCAGTCTGTTCAAAATTAGAATGAAAAACACCCCAGATTGGTAAATATCTTTATTAATCAATATGAGTATGGCAGCGATGTCACTCCTGATATATCTGCCATAGGGCACATGCGGTGAAACGACAAGAAAGGGGAGTTTCTTTTATTTAGTTATTTATCGCCGAATACTACAGTTGTTGATTCGATTGCATAATATCAGGTGCCCAGATTAAGGTGCACGTATGTCAATACATTGTTATATTCGCAGAGATAAAGAGTTTTACTGTGCTTGCGAATCAAATAATTTTCAGTTCCTTGCTATTTTTATAAGGCCACTGTGAAATATCAAAAGCATTATTTCGCTGAAAATCTAAAAAAAAAAAGGGCTACAATCTACCCCCTTTCCACTTTTACCAGTTATGCTCGACTATCCGAAATTTTCAGATCTTCAGCAATTTCCGAGTATGCTGGTTTGCATATTTCACAGCGTAGCCACTGAGGGAGCCACTATATTAGCATATTAGCGTAGCCACTGAGAGAGCCACTATATTAGCATATTAGCGTAGCCACTGAGGGAGGGGTTCCAAAAATAGACCAATGAGTTAAATCTTCATGCATGTGAGTGTAAGTTTACATTTTAATTTGCATTTGTTTGCATTTATAAAGTTGGTGTAATAGTAGAAAATCTCGATTTCTTTCGTTTTATGAGTTTAATTAATCGCTGACATTTTTTTCGCAATATTTATCATTCATGATATTTGGTGTGTTTGCGCTATTCGCTCTTATATCGAAAAAATGACTCAAGCTACAATTAGCCTTGAATATTATGCATTTACTAACACCTTTGGATTAAGAGAATTTAAGCGTATAAGATATGTATTTTTAATTGAGATGAGAAGGACTGGGAGTGTTACAATGAATCTAGTGTTTTTTTATTTCAGTGCTTGTATTCTGTTGGTTTTTAAAGTCTAAGATGAAGAATACGTATTGCGTTTGATCTGATTATATCAATTGTTAATATTAAAAGTTATATGTGAATAAATTGAACATATTTGTTGTGAATAAGATTTCATTCTGTTTGATGAGTATTTCTTGTGTAAACAGTACATTTAAGAGTGAGGAGTTATTAAATGTGAAATTTAGCACACTAAATGAATACGAATGCAAATAAGTGAAGTTCACTTTGAATGAAATTCTGCATTGGCTATTATTATAGAACATCTTTTTCATATTGACTGCAATAAAAAGTGCTGACTTCTATTTACATACATAATTGGTGTAAATATCTTTCTCACATGCATACTTTATGTAAGATAGCATTTGGGCTCAGATGTTTATCGTATTTCTTTCTTATTTTATTTACCAATTATTTTTATTAAATAATTATAAGTATTATTTATATTATAATTATTATTAAATAATATTTCACATGGATAGTTTTGCGGAGTATCCAACATATGTTTGTATTTATTTCAAATTCTTTCAACCAGGTAGTGAAATCTTCACAATTGCTTACATTTGATAATGAAAATTTTCAGAAATCGACGATGCTTTTGTACAGAAAATTGCGTTACAAAATATTTTCAACCATCTTGCTTGAATTTTAAAACACGCTAAAGGTCATGTGACATGACAGAAATATTATTGGATTCCCATTTGTCCATCCTAGAAGCCACTCCCTCGGTGGCTATACAGATGTGCTCTTGTGAACTATGCTGCCGGTTAGTTAAGCTTTTACTGTTAAAGGATGACTGCATGAAGCAATTTCCCATCTTCTGATTTCAGAAAAGTTCCTTTTTTTATTTAAATTACTTTGCTTGCTTTATCTGTTAAGGGAAAACTGTTATACAATAAAAATTTTGATTTAAGTTAAATTATTTAAATATTAATATGAATGAAAAAATAAATTGTACTTATTTTTAAGTGCCAAGCGAATATAATAAATATGGCTTATTATTATTTATTTTCTCTATTTTGAACTGAAATTTCATCATTAAATCTTGTAATATAATTTAGTTATGCATAGTTTTTTTTTCTCTCATTGTAAACTAGTTCTATAAATTTAACTGTTATTTAAATTTTTTAAAAAGGAATGTAATTGTTTTCCATGGTTGCGTAATGCTCATTCTCTCTTAATAAATACTGAATTTCTCATATTTTAAGTTACAAGTATTAATATTTCTTTTAAGGTTATTCAGTTGTGTGTAATGTAATTAGAATGTTCTCCCCCCCCCTTAAAATGTGCTTATAGATGCTTATTTTTTTAACTAAAGTGTGGCTACGAACCCTGATTATTATCTCATTTCTTTGCATATTATAGATAGTGGATGCATAAATACGTTTTCATCTTCGTAAGTTCCAAGTTAACATTCGCAGTTAATTTTGTAAGTTTTTCTATCTGTAATCATGCATCACATTCCATTTCTTAAATTAGCCATAAATTCTGTACACCAGTATAATAAGGATAATTCATGAAGTAGAATATTTAAAATATTTCAAAATTGTGGAAATTTAAATTAACTATTAAAAGTTGTTGTAAAAGCATTTTTCTCTCCTTATCTCTCACCAATTGCTGCCCATACGATATAGTGGTTAAGGGAGCCTGACTGCGATACCAAAGGGCCCCGGTTTGAATTCTGGAGAAGACATGGATGTAAAATTGTCTGTCCCTTCATAGGAGGTGATGGTGACTGCCTATTAAGTGCTTCCACGATAAAATGGCCACCACTTCTGGTCTTAGGAGAGGCCAATGCCATTATAGGCAAGTGCCCACTATTGGGAGAGGGGAATCCGTCACCAATCGAGCACATTTAGAATGTGATTGGATGCCATTGCCATGTTCAGAAGATGACTTGTGGCAAATGGATGACAGGAAATGGAGAGCCATTCCTCCAGACACCATCTGTAGTCTCATTCACTCTGTACCAAGACGTGGTCCTACAACCTACTGTTTCATATCATTTCAAAATAAAGATTGCTTATTGTTCGATGGTGTCTCTCTGTTTTCTCTCATCACTTTCTGGCCACTCCTTCTTATTGTTGCATTTTCAATGTCAGGTAGAATATGTGAGGAGAATTTTGCGAAATATTCATCTAGAATGCATACAAATAGTGTGCAATTCAGGAAATTTATAAGTGATGTTTATGATGCATGTATTGTATCATTTATTATTTTCTAAAATCAAATTTTTACTGTATTTAGGTTCCAAATGCTTATATATATGGCATTGTCATTTTAAGCTTGCTTTTTATCTTTTGAATTTTCAGCTCTTCCATGTGATGAAGTGCTGCACAAAAGAAACATTGCTTTGGTTATATCTTCTCGTGGAGGGCATATAGGTTTTATGGATGGAATTTATCCAGCACCACCATTTTTCTCAGAAAGACTCTTTAAACAGTACTTACAAGGGCTTTTGTCAGTAAATGTTAATCAGACAAACAAAAGTATGTTCTTATAATGTTTTTATTCGTTAAACATATATTTATACAAATGCAATAACATTTACTTAAGAAAATTTGTATAAAAATACTTGTATCTTATTAAATTTTGTTTGATATTTGTTGTTTTGTAATTTGTTTCATTTCCTTTGTAATTTGTTTCATCTATTGCAGTTGATACATCTGAAAAAAAAAATTGAACTTTAATAGATAAAATAGATACATTTAAAAAAAATTCAGTGGTAGATTTAATAAATAAACGACCAGCTAGAGGTGATATGTAATATTCTGCCTCTAGCTTGTCAATTAAGCTTCTTTGTCATTAGCTTTTCTCTTTACAGCCTTACCTCCCATTGCTTTGCGGCTTGTTCATGGAGGCGTAACAGTTCATCCTCCATTTCATCTAATCTTTTTTTCTTAGCTTCAACTGCAAATTGAACAAATTGAACTTCAATGCATAAATAAGATACATCTATAAAAAGTCAGAAGTAGGTTTAATAAATAAACAACCAGCTAGAGGCAATATACACTCTTAGACAAAAAAAAAAAAAAAAAACGCACCAAGAAGGAGTTATCTAAATGGGACGAAAATCGGGTAGAAGTGATGTACATGTACAGAAAAACAAATGATTACACTTTGAGAAAAATTGGATGATTTATTGAAGTGATATAGAGCTTCACGAAGTGAAAAAGTCAGTAATGCGTTTGTCCACCTCTGGCCCTTATGCAAGCAGTTATTCAGCTTGGCATCGATTGATAGAGGTTGCATATGTCCTCCTGAGAGATATCGTGCCAAATTCTGTCCAATTGGCACGTTAGGTCGTCAACATCCCGAGCTGGTTACAGCCTATAATGCTCCAAACGTGCTCAATAGGAGAGAGATCCAGTGACCTTCCTGGCCAAGGTAATGTTCGGCAAGCAGTAGAAACATGTGCAGTGTGGGGGCGGGCATTATCTTGCTAAAATGTAAGCCCAGGTTGGCGTAACATAAAGGGCAACACAACGGGCCTTAGAACTTCGTTGATGTACAGTTGTGCTGTATTTTATATGTGTTGGGTATGTGCTCAGTGATGATTACAAGATGTACACAAACATTGTTTATTCTACATTGCTCATCCACTATTCATATTACAGTTATGATTAAAGATAATAATAGTACAGTTACAGTTACATATATAACATCTCCCTTTCTATAAAAAATAAAATAGCAGTAAAATTAAAACATATTCTTTAAATAATAAGGTTTCTTAACAGTCCTACCAGATCAAGTAACATAGTTATGTCCATTTGAAAAATTTATGATACTATACCTCTTTCACTATTGGTGACACAACACTTCTGTTTTTTGAAGGACTTACAGGCCCATCTAAATTTGTAGTGCTCCTGCTTTCTCGGGTATTCAGGTTCATCTATAACTTCATTCTAATAGTTATTTGTATTGCAACTCTTTGACTAGTTCTTTAAGAAGGTCCCTTCTGTTCCTTTCTATCTGTTCTGTTTCTATCTATTCTTCCATCTGTTCTTATAATCCTATATGAATGTGGTCTTTCTGCTTCTTCTATAATTTTCCCTCTTTCATTTAGTTCTTTCCCTTTCTCTTTTATGTAAACATGATCTCCTGTTTGCAGTGGTTTTAACGGTCTTGCATTCCTATCATAATAACTATTTTGTAAGGTTTGTCTCTTCAGTAAATGTTGTTTATGGTCTTCATATCGTTTAGCTTGGACGAATTCTCTTTATAGGCATCAATCCATTTACTTTTCTTCCAAACATCAAGTTGAAGGTGACTTAATTTCATCTGAAATAGAGAGTTACGATATTCCAGTAAAACTAAATATGGATCCTTGTGTCAACTACAGCTTTTTCTAAACATTCGCTTGACAGTTTGAATAGGTCTTTCAACCATTCCATTAGACTGTGGGTATTTGGACTTGAATTCTGGTTTCAAATTCCATCTTCTTGCAAAATCTTTATATTTCCTGCAATTATATTGTGGACCATTATCCGAATATACTATTTTTGGAATACCATGTCTTGCAAAAATTGATTTCAATTGCTTTATCAGGAGGATATTTTCTCCAGGTGAATCCTTAAAATGCATCACAACCAAGGATGAAACATGAATCTATGCTTTAAAAAAAAAAATCAACAGTCGTTAATGCCATTCCAGAGAGAAACAAGAGAAAATAATCCATATCAAATTTGGTCAAAAATAAAGGCAATACTGAATGTTTGCATCATGCATCTCTACCAGAGAAACTTGCGAATAACTTATATATTCTGCATCACAATAATGCACCTTCTCATAGTGATCCTGTTCATGAATTTTTGGCCACTAAATCAACAAATATGGCTCCAAGCACCATTTCACCTTGTGTGGCATCATATGACTTTCTTCTTATTTCCAAGTTTAAACTCTTGCTTCATGGCTGCTATTTGAGTCTACATATGCAATAAAATAAAATTTGCTTTGAATCCTAAAGAAGTGAGCTACTAGCTCATAGTTTTATTAAACATTAAAAAAAAAAAACAATTTGCGGAATAAATAAATGCTTTATATACCATTAAATAATACCAAAACTTGCTTTCATTTCCTGAACAAAATTATGGAAGAACTATAGTCAAAATTAAAAACACAAAAACAAAAATTTAGTAGTATGATGTCTGTGAGGTTGTTTTAAAAATTTCCTTTTAAAAAAAGAATATTATTAAAATCTTTTACAGTTAGCCTTAGCTGTATTTAAAACATTCACTTTTCTTTACACATGCAGATTTTTCTAGAAAATGTGGGGTAGGAGGATGTAAAAATATCATGTACAAATTTGGCAAGTTATCCAAATATACAGTATACTACAGTACTATTTCAAAGGAATGTTAATATTTAAGCTTGTTTTAGCATAAGATGGGTAAAGTGTTTTACATGGGTAAGTGTTTTACAGTAAAGCATAAGATGGGTAAAGTGTATTTAAGCTTCTTTTAACATAAGATGGGTAAGAATACGTTAATTATTTAAGTAAAACACAAAAATTGCTTGAAAGTAGTAACTGCAGCATGTTCTAAATCTGTGTTTTGCAAGCCGTTGCTACATTTGGATTTAAAACACTGCTTGCATGTTGGCTTATACTGTATATGGAGGAAATTTGCCAACCAATTATGTAGTTCTGTGACATAAATCATAACATGCATTTTAAAGCACTGAATCCTTATTTATTAGTGACAGATTTTCCTTTAGTCTACCAAAAATGAATTAAACTTAATTCTGTAGTTGCCATTCTATATCTTCATGAATAACCTGGATGTTAATGCTTTCACAAAATGTTCTTAATTACTTCTCTTTTCCTGGTGCATGATAAACAACCGTACAGAAAACAGTTGTGTTTTTTATCAAAGCTCTTGAGCTTTATGTTAAAAAATCTGCTCTTTTGTATTGGATTTTCTTGTACATGGCATCGGATAATATACCACAAAATGCAGTTTTTCATACAGGTATTTATTTTCTGTCATTTTTCTTGCCTAAAATTTTTAGTTTTGCTATTGTCAGTATTATCACATTCATATGCAATATACAGTACAAAATCTGACACCCAGAATCATCAGAACAGAAAATTCCAGGTTTAGATCATCAATTTTAATATAACGAATTGACGTGTAGGAATGTAAAATGAAAGCTATCAAATATTTTTTTTACGAAATGATGTAGCATTTATGAAATCAAATCAAAGTTTAAAAAAAAAAAAACTCAGTATCTGTTTATTAAACATTTCTTTCAATTTAAGTTGTTTGAACTGTTTCATTTTTTGTGATAATACTTTAGAGATAGACATATTTTCTTGTCCAGTTATGTCAAGCTCCATCGTTCAGGACATGCAACTGCCAAAGCAAGATTTCCCACTAAACTATTAGCTGAAATTCTTTTATTCTCAACAGTCTCTTCGTTACTTCCAATATTTGTAGTGATATTTTCTAGATTTAATATCATACTACAGTCAAAAGTCGTTAATTCAGACACCCATAATTCGGAATGATCTATAATCTGGACCTCAAAGCTACAAACTTTCTGCGCATGCGCAGAAGACCTTTACGGCTGCGAATATACGAATACGTTTACGAATGCGCGTTTAATGTATAACGGACTTGGTATAAGCTAAGCTAAAATTATCTAATTCAGTTAATGTTGCAGACTGCGTTGTTCCTTAATCTTCAAATTGGATTCGGCTTATTATTTTTTGCAGACTGTTAGAGCAATTTTATAAAAGTAAGCTTGAACTTTCGATTATGTCAAATAGAATTTCTGATATATATTTTACTAATATGTAAAGGATCTACAAAGCGAAAGTATGTTTCGAAGTCCATGAAACAAAAAATGGATAAAAACATATCCTTTGTTTATCTAAACTTTAACGTTTGTTTATCTTTAACGCTGCGGAGTTGGAAGTTGATCTGTCAGCACTATCCTTATCTTCAGGTCAGATGTTTTTCTTTTATTTGGCTTATAATTATTTACTAAATGTAGTATTTCATCTCGATGTATTCCGTGTTTGATATGATTTAAATCAAATTCCTCGTCATTATAATTTGCTTTCGATAGCAAAGAAAGTAACAGAGGTTAATGAAAACGAAAAAATTTCAATTGACAAATTAGTCGGTATTCTCGACACAGCAATTATAGGACTTGAACAGCGGAACTTTGTAACTGAACAAGAAATTATGTCTGTTTTATAGAATTAAAGAGAATGTATTATCACATAAAAAACGAAGCAAACTTAAACAACTTACATTGAAAGAAATGTTTAATAAAGTAAACAAATAAATATTAAGCTTTTTTTTTGTAAATTTTGATACCCTTTAGATTATAATTGTTCTTTATTTCATACATTACGGTTTCATATTTTTAATTTTATAATTTCTGCATGCCATCTTACCAGATTTAAACTGATGATCTATAATCCGGAATCGCCGAAGTCCCGACGAATCCGGATTAACGACTTTTGACTATAAATTTTGCCATCCATTAGTTGACTGATGATTAGGGCAATGTCATCATAATGCAAAAATTATGTTATACATCCTTCATGTATTAGCACTTAAC